GCGGGTGGGGCCCGGCGCTCTCGCCGCCTCTCCCGCTGCGGGCTTCCTCACCGCGGCCTCCGCGGCGGGCCTCGCGCGGCGGGCAAGGGCGTTCTGGGCTTGGGGAGGCTGCTGAGGTTTGAGGACCCGTAAGGTCGCTTTCTCTGGCCAGAGGAAAGGCGCCGAGTCCCGAGGGGGAACTCCAGCGGGAACCACCCTTTAAGGGGAACGATCCAGAATGCAGCTCAGAAACTGGGAGTCCCGAGTGGGTAGGGCCGGGTTTCTGCCACTCGGGAGCCCAGTCTAACCAGTCGAAGCTGCCCGGGACAGTAGGAGTTCCGACTCCGAGCGACGGCGGCGGCTGACCAGGCTCCGACGCCCGCCCGCGCAGGCCTGCCGCAGCCCGAAGGCTGCAGGGGTGGGTTTTGTGGACTGAGCGGGATCCTGGCGAAAGCTGGTGGAGAAGGTTGGAGGGAGGGGCTGAGGCTCCTGCTGGTGTAGAGCGGTCCACAGCTGAAAGCCTTTAGCCTGTCACTTGCTCGGAATCTAGCTGAGATAGCAGCTTCCAGGCCAGTTTGCATAGGGAAGTCCACACCTCCTCCAGCTCAACCAACCCTGCCCCCAAATCTACCTGACAGCGGCTGAGAACAACCTGCCTCCTGCTGGGACCGGAGGGTAGGTGCATTCACCGTCATCTGTTTCATCCCAGATGTCTGAGGTTTCCTAAGCTGAGGAGCAGGTGTCTCAGGCTCCACCAGAAGCCAAGTTTGGCAGGCTGTCAGCCAACCACCGAACGGCGTGGACCCGTGCACCTGTCCCAAGCACTAGCTGGCCCCACCCAGGGAAGCTGGACTGGGAACTTTCGGCCGGTGCTGTACATCTGAGGCCTCTCCTTTCTCTTCTCTCCCTCAGGTGCTGTCATTAGTCCCAGCCCCGTGAAGAGCTGCTGGGGCTGGGTGGTCATGGGGGAGGCCGGTAGAGAGGAGTATAAAATCCAGTCTTTTGATGCAGAGACCCAGCAGCTGCTGAAAACAGCACTCAAAGGTGAGCGGGGGAAGCCTCAGGAGCCAGGCAGCAGCTGCAGAGCCCCAGGGGCAGGGAGTGCCCAAGCCCTCTTCTCCCTTCACTTCCTGAGAATACGAGTCACAGGCTAACTCCTGCACTGGAAAGACAAGCTACCTTTAGATCAATATTTGGGAGGATTAATCAGAAAGTCATCTCTCCTATGGTAAAGCCTTTTTTTTTTAATTTTATTTTTTTGTCTTTTTGAGACAGGGTCTCGCTATGCAGTTCAGGCTGGCCTTGAGCTCACTTTGTAGCCCAGGCTGGCCTTGAACTCAATGATCCTCTTGCCTCAGCCTCCCCAGTGCTGGGATTACAGGCGTGTGCCACCATGTCCGGCTGGTAAAACCTTTTTTAAAAGTACTCATGAACAAGTACATAGTTCCTACCCTTTAAGCCTTAACATTTGATTTGCTGATTTCTGTGTTGCTGCAGCAGCTCTGTTGAATGTGTGATGCTCCCTGACTTGAGAAAGAGGAGGGAGAATCTGGCTTGGCAGAGGAGATATGTAACTGCCCTGGACCAGTGGCTTCCCGCTACACTCAGGACGAAGTTTGACCTGGCTAACAATTAGCAAGCTCCTCAAGTGCCAGGGGAAGGCCCTAAGCCTGTGAGGGAGGCCCCGCAAAGCCTGCTCTTTTAGGGGCTTGTGGACATTGTGTGTGTTACAGGAACACTTTTCTGTGAAATTGCTGTGGAAGACTTGGGGTTCAGGGTTTCTTCCTCAACCCAGTGCCAGGAAGAGATGTGCGACCTAATAAAATACACCTGTACTTTGATTGGTCGCTACAGCCACATAACCATCCCTGCTTTCTCTATTGAGCCATCAGAGGAGACTGCTAGAGTTGCTCATACATACCAGTAGTTACTGTGCCTTCTCTCTGGGGGTTTTTTGTTTTTGCAGTACTGGAGTTTGAACCTAGAGCCTTCACAGTGAATTACATCTCCAGTTGGTTGCTTGGTTGATTTTTTGAGATAGGGTCTCCCTAAATTGCTGAGTTACCCAGGTTGGGTTCAAACTTGTAATCCTCCTGCCTCAGCCTCCCAGAGTGCTGGGATTACAGCCCTGCTTCACCATGTCCTACTCCTTCTCTCTAGGCTTTTTTTTTTTTTTTTCAATTTTGGGCATCAAATCCAGGGCCTTGTCCATGCTAGGCAAGGGCTCTACCATGAGTTACATCCCCTTTGTCTCTAAATTCAAGCATATAGTGGGAGTGCACTACTGTGAACATCTCAGATCGCTCTTGGAAGCAGGTGAAGGCAAATATGAACAGGCAGCTCTAGATTCCCCTCCTGTCTCTACCCTAGATCCAGGCGCTGTGGACTTGGAGAAAGTGGCCAATGTGATTGTGGACCATTCTCTGCAGGACCGTGTGTTCAGCAAGGAAGCAGGACGCATGTGCTACGCCATCATCCAGGTTGGGGGGTTGGCAGAAGACAGGGAGCTGCTCTGTGGAAGGCTCCTCAAGTGGGCAGAGGCCAGCCAGCAGGACAGAGATGCGAAGGGCAGGGAACAGAGTAGGATAGGTGGGACAGTGCTGGCACCACCCTCTCCCTCTCACTACCCTCTCCTCGGTTCACAGGCAGAGAGTAAGCAAGCAGGCCAGAGTGTCTTCCGGCGTGGACTCCTCAACCGGCTGCAGCAGGAGTACCAGACCCGGGAGCAGTTGAGAGCACGCTCCCTGCAGGGTTGGGTCTGCTATGTCACCTTTATCTGCAACATCTTTGACTACCTGAGGGTGAGGGCCAGGGAGCCACCCTGTGAGGCGGAGATGACCTGTATCCCAAGGCCCATGCTGAATTGCTTTCCATGGCCCCTAACACTGCCATTCTGGCTTCTCTTCCTCACCCCCAAACAGGTGAACAACATGCCCATGATGGCCCTGGTGAACCCTGTCTATGACTGCCTCTTCCGGCTGGCCCAGCCGGACAGTCTGAATGAGGAGGAGGAGGTAGGTGGCCTGGGAGCAGAAGGCTGTGGAGGTGGAGAGCAGTCAGGCTCAGCTAAGTGGAGGCCTTGGAGGGTGTCATTTCCGGGCAAGAGCGGGGGTGGGGGTGCATTTAAGGCCTGTCAGTTACAAGACAAGCTGCTGAGTCTGATTTTTATTTAGAACAGACAGCAGGCAAAACCGACTGGCACAGCAGCTTCCTTCCTAGTAGGGAAGCCAAGCGATAGGAATGGAGAGAGCCACAGCCAGCTTTGGGCACAGATGGCCTGGAAACCAAACCCATGTCAGGCAGAGATGGGGAACAAGGAACGTGGGGTTAAGAAGCAGCGTGAGACAGGCCTGGCCGGATGTTCTAGGCAAGTCCCTGAACTTGTGTCCTTTGATGTAGATGTGGGCAACAGTGAGAGGATGGTGAGGACCAAATGAGTCTGAAGGGCACGTGATGTGCTAGGTGATAGGCTGGCCCTGCCCGGGGCTGACCCGGGGTCTCCCTGTTGCCCCTGCAGGTAGACTGCTTGGTGCTGCAGCTGCACCGGGTTGGGGAGCAGCTGGAGAAGATGAATGGACAACGCATGGATGAGCTCTTTGTCCTGATCCGGGATGGCTTCCTGCTCCCAACAGGCCTCAGCTCCCTGGCCCAGCTGCTGCTGCTAGAAATTATTGAGTTTCGGGCTGCCGGCTGGAAGACCACCGCTGCTGCCCACAAGTATTACTACAGTGAGGTTTCTGACTAGTGCAGGCTTGGTACTTGCTCCCTGCAACACTGGCCTTTCCTCAGCCCTCCTTAAGCTGGCAGGCGTCTCTGCCTCTCTCAAAGGCTTTCCCCTCCTAGACTCGCCCACCTTCCCAACTGCACTGTGGTCCTGCCGTGTTCCCCACCTACAGGTTGGGGAGATACCAAAGACTTGCTCCCCAGACTCAAGTTTGTCCCCTCTTCCCCCAGAGTCCCACCAGCCTTCTACCATCGTCCACTAGGACCATGCAGAGAAGGGCAATGCCTACCGACCATGCACTGTATAACCACTGATGCAACAGTACCTTGTTGCCTCAATTCCCCATCTATAAAATGGGCAACCATAGCCATGGGTTGGCTCAAGATGCTTCAAGACGCTGAGGGGCAGAGGGAGAGTGCAAATTATCCCAGAAACTGCTTTTTCTACATTTTTAAAAAGGACCACTGTGGAAAGAAGCCTATTTCCTCCAATGAGTTTTAATCGATGATACATCTGTATCAGAGAGAGGATTTTCTAATAAATCTTCTGATACTACAGCTTCTTCCTTTCACATCCGAAGGGTGTCACGGAAAGAGAAGACTGGGCCCCGAGTTTCTCAGAGGAAATTCCCAAGTCAGTGTCTCCTCTTCACAAGGAGACAGGGCCCAGAGAGCCAGTTCTAGTCCCAGTGAGAAAGGGTAAATGGCCCTGTGAACATGCTGCTCCGTCTTTCTCAAAAAGGAACTACGTTCTTAATACATGGTAATTTTCAGTGGGACGCAGGGCCTTGGGCGCCTCCCAAAGCCTCTCTTTCCCTCTACCACCAGCGGTAGTGGGCCAGGGCACGGTTGGCCTCAGCCATCTTGTGCATGTCCTGCTTCCTCTTGATCACGGGGCCCTGATTGTGGAAAGCCTGCAGCAGCTCATGTGACAACTTCTCTGGCATCAGTGTCCGCCGGTGCTTATTCTCTCGGCACTCAGTGATCATCCACTTCATGGCCAGGAAGCGGCGACGTCGGTCAGCTAGGGGCACAGGGACCTGGGAGAGGACACAGGACACAGGCCAGTTGATCCAAGGGCCTACCAGGGCTAGGGCTTCCTGCCTCTGAGCCCTAATGAGTCACCATGCATTCCCTCCGGACCAGCCGGTAAGGCTCCTAAGGAAAGAGGCCTATCTTTTTTGCTTTGAGCTTCCCCCATTTGTGGGTGACCTAGCATGGTAAACATAAGAGACACTCACTCAACAAACCTCATTAGGCACTGGCCTCTTTTTTTGTTTATTTGTTTTGTTTGTTTGAAACAGGGTCTCATTATGCCATTCAGGCTGGTCTTGAGCTCACATTGTGGCCCAAGCTGGCCTCAAACTCACAATGATCCTCCTGCCTCAGCCTCCTGAATACTGGGATTACAGGCATGCATCACCATGCCTGGCTCTTTTTCTCTTAAATGGAAGCTCTGCCAAGTTGATACAAGCAGCAACTGCAAAAAACCTTCTAAGCAAGGGTGAGACTTAGCCACCTCAGACAAAGGATACTTAAAAAATGCAAGAGTCATTTGCCCAGCCCACACTATGTGCCGGGTTCCATGTTGGACAATAAAGATGCAGACAGGAAGAAAATTCCTACCCTTATGAAGTTTAAACTGAAGAGGGAGAAGTCAAGGAAATCTACTCAGGACAATGAAAAATAAATGTTATGACACAGATGCCTTGTTAAGTTCAATACTGATGAACCAGCAGTTATGGGTCGAGCACTATGCTAACCCAAGTGTAGAGACGAGATGGCCCATCTCTTCCTATGAGAAGTTTACTGTTTAGAATACATGATGATGAGCCGGGCGTGGTGGCGCATGCCTGTAATCTCAGTACTCGAGAGGCTAAGGCAGGAGGATCATTGCAGGTTTGAGACCAGCCTGGGCTACAAAGTAAGCTCGATACCATGTCTCAAAAAAAAAAAACATGATGATGGACAGAAAAAGTAGGCTCTCAGAAAATGGGGATTTTTTTCTTTTTTTTGAGACAGTGTCTCTCTATGCAATTCAGACTGGCCTTAAATTCACTATTTAGCCTAGGCTGACCTCAAACTCACAGCAAATCCCTCTGCCTCAGCCTCCGGAATGCTAGGATTACAGGTATCCATCACCACGCCCGGCCAGATGATGTGACTTTTACAATACAGGTCTCAAATAAGTAGATCCTGACAGTCCTCAGTCTCTAGAGAGCTGTCAATCTCGGCCCAACTCTGAGGCCTCCCACCCCTGTCTTGTTTCACATGTGGCCAGCACTTTCCTGCCAGACCATTCACCTGGTAGAAATGGCCACCCTTGAGGATGGGTACGAGGCCAATCACAGGCTCACAGTTTTTCAGTGCTTGGTGGAAGATGACGTAGGGGTTGCGTTCGATGGTTGCTTGTTCCTCTGCAGAAGCAGCACGGTACTTCTCAAACTGTTTCCTTTTCACAGCTTCCAGAGTCTGCAGAGAGAGACAGTGCAAGAGACTGCTCCAGGCTCCCCGAAGAATTTACTCAGCTCAGCTAGCATCTTGCTCTTTTATTTCCATTATCCAGTCCTTCCACAGCAGTGTAGCTCCTCCCTCAGCACAGTCAAGACAAAGTCAAGTGCCTCCCCCTTTTGCCAGACTAGGACAGAAAGAGTAGGCTGAACTCCGTGATGTAGGGCAAATGGCCACACATATGGGGAAGTTAATTTTAATGACGTCTATGAATTATTATTTATTATTTTTTTTGTTTTTCTCCGGTACCGGGAACCGAACTCACGACCTTGCACTTGCCAGGCAGGCGCTTTGCTGCTGAGCTAAATCCCCAGCCCCTGCCCTTTTTATTTCTAAGACAAACTCTCAGTAAACTGCACAGACTGGACTTGAACTTGAAATCCTCCTGCCTCAGCCTCTCACTGTGCAGAGATTACAGGTGTGGTATGAGCTACATCCCTACCCCTCTTCTAATTTTTAAGCTACACTGAAAACCAAGCATCGTACAAAACTAGAAGGAAAAGAGAGGGAACAGAAGTGGAAGAACTGTTTACCTGGGTTATAAGGGATCTGGCCAGTATTTTATTTCCGCCTTTCATCATCATGTTGGTGAATTTACTTCAAGGAGAAAAACAAAGTATTTAGATTCCTAAGGCTCTATCATGGAGTCCATACCATAAATAAGTCCCAGTCCATGGAACAAGTGTGCGTTTCCATCTAACCTGATCACTGGATCTGCAAACACAGAGCATGTCGTCGTCGCTGGGGCCGCCTTGATGAGCTGAGTCTTCTTGAGCTCCTGTTCATATTTCTCCTCCTCGGTGAGCTCGGCCACGGGTTTGCGGTAATGTTCTTTATCCACTAAAGGATCCCTGAATTCAGGACTGTAGCGGCTCCACCGCACCGGGGTCAGCCTGCGAGGGGGAAGAGGGGGCGGGCAAAAGCTGACCCCACAAGTGAATAATAAGCCTGACTTCACAATGGGCCTGTTTGCCAACCCGCCGGAAAGGGCGAGCAGGGAGGAGATCCCAAGCTAAACCCGAGCCGCAAAAGCTCTGGCTTCTGTCCCAAGAGGCAGGAGGACCTCGTCAAAGGGGCCAGGAAAGCCTACCCGCCGTCCAGCGCTAACGTGAGGCCGGCTCCGCGCCGAGCACCTCTGCGCCCACCTCCCGACTCCCAGACAGCTCCTCTCCGGGCCCTGGCAGGGCTGCGATGATTCAGACCCCGACCTGACCGAGGCAAGCACTAAGCCTTCAGACCGGCCCAAGATCACGCAGCTACCGAAGAGACTGGGACTGGGGCGTCCCGGCCCCCCGAGGAGTGGCTCCCCTCCTCCCCCGCAGGCTCCTTCTGAACACTCAAGCCGCGCTCCCAGCTGCTGGCCGTCCGCTCACCCGGGAACACGCCACCCAGCGCAGGAGCTCCGGAGAGCCGGGGCTCTCACCGCTCTCAGCGCGGCGGCAGCCATCTTGGCCGGCTACGAGGACCCCACAGGACCTGCCCTCGGCGCGCCTGAGCGAGCAGACGGGTTCGGGATTCCACGGGGCCCTAAACTTGTGTCTCACGCCATTGATCTGGGCGTTGGAGTCTTTCACCACGAGGCCCAAAGGGAAGCTCTAAAAAGACGCCCGCCCTCACACTATCCGTCCCAGTCCGGCGCCACCCTCAGCCGCAGCTCCCGCTCCTCTCAGGCCCCCATGCAGGCCCCGCCCCGGCTGGGCTCGGGCAGACTCTCGCGAGGTCTGAGGCCGCGAGGTCGGCCAGGGCGGCTGCAGTATGGCGGAGGCGGAAGGAGAGAGCTTGGAATCCTGGCTGAGTGAGTATGCGCGGCCGCTTCTGCCTGTGCCCGAGCGGCGAGCCGCGCCGCTTCTCACCCTTCCCTTTCCCGGGCTTCGCAGTAGTGCTGCGTGGCACCTGGCGTCCGGGCTCGCCCTCGCCTCGAGCGTCCGGCGATCACGCCCCTCGCGGGCTGGGCCCCTTCCCTGCGGCGCATCGTCCCCTCTCTGCGCGCTGCAGCGGCAGCTCTGGGTACGGTCCCGGCCGCAGGTCCGGGGAAATGACAGTCAAGTTCTAAGGACCGACAGGCTTCGCGCTGTGAGATTGCGTTGGGGCTGTGACTCCGGGACCCCTGCGCCCCGCTCCCTGAGGGGAAAAGCTCCAGGCGTGAAGCTTCGGGAGCGGTGGGTGCTGGCGACCACACACACGCTCCTCGCCGCTATAGAATTGTTGGCATGTATTTGAGAACTAGCGGCTTTGCCTAGGGAGAATGCTTGAAGTGAAAGAGAGAGCGATAATAGAGCTCTCCATGGTTTGTTTAATCGATTTTGAGATTCTCACACACACGGTTGGACATCTGAACAAAACTCTCAAAGCGGGGGGACGGGGGGCACCGTGCGAAGCTGTAGATACAGCGGCGCGTTGCTGCAGTTGTATGAAGGAATAAGGGTTAACCTTGTTAGCGGACAACACTCTGCCTAAGGGTTCATAAGTGAACTTTCCTGAGGGCTTGACTCCCTGGAGACCTTTTTTTTTTTTTTTTTTCTTGGTTTTGTTTTGGTTTTTGTTTTTTGTTTTTGTTTTTTCTGGTTTTTCTCGGTACCGGGAACCGAACTCACGACCTTGCGCTTGCCAGGCAGACGCTTTTGCCGCTGAGCTAAATCCCCAGCCCCTGCTGGAGACCTCTTTAAGTGGAGACGAAATTGGACTGGTAAGATGCCTAGATACTGCGTAGTGCTAAGTAGAGTCTCAGGCTGTTGGAAGTGATGGTTGTTGCTTCCAGTTGCCTGACCTTTTCTTAAGAAACGCTCCCCTTCAAGGGTTTGAACCTAGACTCCAAGGGGAGCACATCCCAGAAGGGATGGGCCAAGTCTATTGCTTATATGGCTCTGATCTCCAAGGAGTGCAGAGTGCTCAACACCCATTCATTAAAATCGTTTGCCAAATATCCTTGTGGTTCTTCTGCCACAATTTCTCAAAAAGAGATCACCCCAACTCCAATCAGACCACTTGCCTAGAGCCACCCAGCTGGATATAACCACAATGGAAATGGTCTGATTCATAAATATCAATGGGATACTGGAGTAATTTAAGTGACCTAAGCAGTCTAATAGGCCTAGTTTAAAGTTACAGAGTTTCTAGTTATATTTGGACATGAAAGAGGGAGACTAGAGATGGGAAGCTGGAGGGGATGATTGCTGTAGAGACTGGAGCTGAGCCTGGCCTTTGACCTTATCCCATTAGGTTTACAGTTGGAACACTGTTAAGATTTCTCCCATCCTTATCCTCTGTTCACTTACATAGTTTTAATGACAGAATGGTGTGAATTGTACCATTCAACAAACAAGTGCTTGAGGTTGGCACCATCTTAGTGAGTCTTTGTCACCCTCTGGTTTGCCTGAATTACTGCAGCATCCTCTGTTTTTTTGTTTTGTTTTGTTTTGTTTTTTGTCTTTTTGGGAGAGGGTCTCGCTATGCAGTTCAGGTTGGTCTTGAGCTCACTTTGTAGCCCAGGCTGGTCTCGAACTTGCTGCAATCCTCCTATCTCAGCCTCCCGAGTGCTGACATTACAAGCATGAGCCACCACACCTGACCTGCAGCATCCTCTGCTTGGCCCAGTGCCTCAGGTCTCTCCTCTCCTCTTGGTCCATCCTGTATTATGCTTCCAAGGGAGATGTCCTATTGCTTTTTATTTATTTCATTTTAAAGAGAAAAAAACAATAAAAACAATGATACAAAATTTCAAAACAAGACAGGAGAGTAACAGTGGTTAGTACTATTTAAAATTGGGTCTCATGCTGGGTGTGGTGGCGCATGTCTGTAATCCCAGCACTCAGGAGGCTGAGGCAGGAGGATCCTTTTGAGTTTGAGGCCAGCCTGGGCGACAAAGTGAGCTCAATGCCAGCCTGAACTGCAGAGCGAGACCCTGTGTCAAAAAAGACCAAAAAAAACCAAAAAAAAAAAACAACAAAAAACACCAGAACAGAACAAAAACAAAGACTGGGTCTCACTATATAGTTCAGGATGACCTTGGACTCACTATGTAGCTAAGGCTGCCCTCAAACTACGACAGTCCTGCCTTAGTCTCCCAAGTGCTTAGATTACAGGTATGCATCACCACACTCAGCGTAAGTCCTGTTTAACCAAGTCATACCATTGCCACCAAACCTACTGCTGCAAAGTTTGCGACCAGCCTGGGAAACCTCATAAGATGCTGCATCAAAATTTAAAAATTTTGGGGCTGGGGATTTAGCTCAGCAGCACAATGCCTGCCTGGCAAGTGCAACATCATGAGTTCGATTCCTGGTACCGGAAGAAAAACAAAAACAAAAAAAACAAAATTTAAAAATTTTGCTGGGGATGTAGCTCAGCACATCCCCATGTGATGAGAGAGGCCCTGGGTTCAATCTTAGAATCACCAAAAGGGGGTGGGGTGGAGCGGGAGGGACAGCTCAGATTCTCCTTCTCTGAAAACTGTCCCTTGATGACTTCAGCCTTTCTGAAGACCAGCCACAATCAGTCAGGGTTTAATGAGACCGTTATGGAAAGTACTATTGAGAATTAGGATGTTCAGGTCTTTGCTTTCACTTTGATGCAGGTGATGCTGGTGTGATTAAAGAAATAAACAGATAAAGATACAAAGCAGAAGCTGTAAGTGTTAAAATGCAGACAGTGTGTTTTTTAGGAGAGTGGGAATAAGGAGAATGAAAAATGATGCACCAGGGAGATAGCATTCAAGTTAGCTCTTGAAGAATGGGAAAAGTTTACTAAGAAAGCACTGGGTGGTGATGTGGAGGGAGCCAGCCTGTTTGGGGTACACAGTTGGCTCAGCAGTCCTAGAGGGTGTGTGTGTGTGTGTTGGGGGGATAAAGCTGGAAAGATAGCATCAAATTCTGGGAAGGTGGGAATTCCAGCCCAGGAAGTTGAAATTTTTAGTTATCAGGTTTCCATTTCTATACCTGATGAAATCAGCATATTGGAAAGATTGATACAGGGGTTTTGCATAACATGCATCCTAACATAGCCTAGGTTAGAACTAGTTCTGAAATCAGGTATTAAAAAAGGAGGTGGGGGGCTGGGGGTTTAGCTCAATGGCACAGCGCCTGCCTGGCAAGCGGGAGGTCGTGAGTTTGATTCCCAGTACCAGAAAAAATATTTAGAAAAAGGAGGTGGGGTGGCAGAGAGATTAAAAAGACATTGAGCCAGGCGTGATGGTGCACGCCTGTAATCCCAGCACTCGGGAGGCTGAGGCAGGAGGATTGTTGCAAGTTCGAGACCAGCCTGAGCTACAAAGTGAGCTCAAGGCCAGCCTGAGCTGCATATTGAGACCGTCTCAAAAAGACAAAAAAGAAAAAGACATTGAGGGCTGGGGATTTAGCTCAGTGGCAAAGGCGCTTGCCTGGCAAGTGCAAGGTCGTGAGTTCGGTTCCTGGTACCAGAGAAAAACCAAAAAAAAAAAAAGAAAAAGAAAAAGACATTGAAAGGCCAGTCTGAGCTACACAGTGTGAGGCCAGCCTGCTCTATAGTGTGATCTTATCTCAAAAAAACATACTGGAAAGGACTCTAGGATTGACAGGAATGGGTAAGAAAAGCGAAGGATCAAATTGGGGTTTCAAATCTGAGTGCCTGGGAGTTGAGGTAAAATGGGCTTTTTTTTTTTTTTTTTTTGCACTGGGAATTGAACTCAGAACCTCAAGTTTGCCAGGCAGGCACTGCTCTGCTGAGCTATATCCCAGCTTTAAAATGGGCTTTTAAATAACAGCACCATTTATAGAAATGGGGAAGTCAGGGAGAAGTGATGCGTTTGTTTTTAGACTTGTTTCTGTACCGTATTGACATTTATAATTACATACTGCCTTGTTTTATGCACTGATTCTTTCTTACATGTTAAATCAGAAGGGCATCACTTCCTCAGGGCTGATCTGTATCTAGTACCTCTTCTGTAGTCCCTTCAGGTGTGGCAAGCCTTTTATTTTCTGTGGGTGCCTGAGTGAGACTGGATGACTAAGTTTCTCCATTGGTTCAAGACCTGGCACTGCAGGTTGACCTTGATCCCTTTCTAGCCCATGCTCTTGCATTTGCTTATTTCTAAATCATTGCCATATGGAATTTGGCTCTCTGGGACTCTCTGAGCCATGTTGAGAAAGTGTTGTCAGTGCTGCTGCTGCTCCTATTGCCATCCTATGTGTGTGTTCGTTTCTAGTACTGGTGATTGAACCCAGGGAGCACTGAGCTACATCCCTAGCCCCTCCCCCCCTTTTTTGGGGGAGAAAAGGTTTGTTAAGTTGTTTAGGTTAGCCTCAAATTTGCGATCCTCTTGCTTCAGCCTCCTGAATACCTAGGATTATAGGTGTGCACACTTAGCCCTGTGTGACATTTTGAGGTCCCCACAGAGTAAGGCTGGGGATGGAACCACGCTGAAAATAAGGACAGGAAATCTGGAGGCACAGAAACAGAAGAGAATGAGGCTTTCACCAGAGACCTGAAAATAGACAGAAACCATGAGTCAGAGCGGAGCCCAGAGAGGTGGTTCTGGAAGGCAGTGTCTGAAGGGGAGGCTCCGGTGTTGCCTGTGTCAGGTGAGGGAATGTGGAGTAGGTGGAAGGGTGCATGCCTCTGCTGGGGGAGCAGCAGGCGGATGGACAGCTGGAGTCACCTGGCAGCATCTCTTGTAGTTTCTCCCGGCTCCTATAGGTGACAGATGCGCCTTCTGAGCTGCTGGAGAGCTGCAGCAGACGCTGGGAGGTAGCCCTGACTTAGCTCACACCAGGGCTTTTTGTGCCATGTGTAGGCAGAGCACTCCCTGCAGATTTGCAATAGAAAGTTCTGTGAAGGTCCCAGGATTCTAGAGGAGTGAAAAACAGGCAAGAATTTTTTTAGAGGCAGCAGTACTTTACGAAGTGCAGTGGCCCTGGGGAGATTAAATTGGTGACAGGTCATTGCTTATAGGGCCAGGGGTTCACATTTTACTGTTGTTGGGAGCCACTTTTCCCACTGAGAACTGGGGAAGCGAGTGGACTGATCTTTCCTCTCCCTTGAGGTTTGTGACTTCCCAGATGGCTAAAAACATTAGAAGTGGGTATGGCACTTCAGGCTAATTATTGAGTCTTGCCGCTGCTCGGAGTCATGTGAAGACCTGAAACATCTCAAAGGACAGGATTAGTAACAAAGCCAGGCCAGCACCTGAGAACATTTCACATAAAGGTGGGGAAGCCTTGGGGTTTTTGAGAAGGCCCTGCTAGGGCGGCTGTGGCGTCAGTGCAGGACTACCAGGCATCTCTTTCTGAGTGGCCGCCATTGACTGAGTTAGTAACTTCCCTTCAAACTTGACATTTTGAAGGGTCTGTGAATTTCCTTCCAAGATCAAGAACAGCCCCCTTCTTTTCCTCTTAAGTACAAACTGTAGCCCCCAGAATATTGTCTTTGCAACCAAAACAGAAAGGCTGCCAGGCAGGCCCAACCTCAGCACCGGGAAGCCTCCGCTCAGAGCCTGGGAGCCGTGTGCCCAGTGGTGCACCTGAAGTCCCTGCTACATTTCAGTCACCAGCTATGTCCCTTGTCCCCCACATGTGCCGGGGGTTGAGCCCCAGGCCTCACATATGCTAAAGCACTCTGGTGCTGGGCCATACCTCCAGTCCTTTTTGAAACAGGGGCTCGCTAAGATGCCCAGGCTTACACTTGCAATCCTCCTGCCTCACCACCCTGAGTAGATGGTATTACAGGCATGCACCACTGGCTCATATGATGATTTTTAGTTAAGAAAATATCAGCTGGATGTGGTGGCATACACATATAATACCAACACTCAGGAGGCTGAGGCAAGAGAATCACTGTTTGAGGCCAACATGGGGTACATAAGTGAATTCAAGGGCAGCTTGCACTACATAGTAAGACCGTGTCTCACAAAAACCAAAAGAAAGAAAGAACCCAGAGGTGTGATGGTGCCCACCTATAATCCCAGTTACTCAGACGAAGGTAGGACAATTGCAAGTTCAAGCCCAGTCTGGCCAATTTACCAGTATCTCAAAATAAAAAATAAAAGAAGACTGGGAGCTGGGCATGGTGGTGCACAGCTGTAGTCCCAGCACTTGGGAGAGTGAGGCCGGATTTCCATGAGTTCAAGGCCAGCCTGAACTACACACCAGGACCCCGTCTCAAAAAAAAAGGCTGGAGATGTAACTCAGTGCTAGATCACTTGTCTAGCATGTGCAAGGCCTTGGTTCAGTCCCTTCCCTATACCATGCACACACACAGAAAGAAGAAAGGAAGAACACACCCACCATCACAAGAGTTCAGAGTGCAGAACTTGTAACAGCATCCCCTGTCAGAAGGGCGCTCTCCTCCTTCAGAAGCCAGCATGTTTTAAGAGGATGTGTGTCTCTTCCATTTGTCTTCTGACCCTGAAGCCCTAAACTGAGCAAACAGTTTGAGAGCTTCCTGAAAGAGGCAGACTATGGATCTGAGTCAGAGATGCCAGCCCACTTAACCTCCCTCAGCTGGGCCATCCTCCTGGGGGTAACAGGGAGGAGACACAAACCAATTATTACTGAACTCGCATTTAGGGGCAGGATTTTAAACCTTCAGGGTCTCTCTGAGACCTCTGTAGTGTTTGTCTTTGTGATTGGTTGTGAAAAAGCATTCAAGCTTTGATTCTGTTTGTGTGGCCCTGCGAAGACTGCGGGGGGCCTGGTGCCTAACAGGGTTGTCAGTGAGTGTTGTAGGCTTGACAGTCATGAGCGTTATGTGAAGAAGATGAAGTCTTGGGAAATCTTTTTGGAGGATGTATAGAAAATAACTCATTTTCTGTGGTGGTGGATGCCTGTGTTCCCAACCCTCTGAGAGACAGGGAATTGTGAGACAACTTAGCAAGACCCTATGTTAGAAAAAAGAACCCAAAACTAGCCTGGGTACGTGGCTCATCATGAAGGCCTTGAGTTCGAGTGCTCAGTACTGAGGGGGGAAAAAACCAGCAACAAAAAACTCATTTTCTAAGTGTGCTTCCTGAACGCTTAGCTCATTTTTATGTTGTTATTTGTAATTATAGATGCATATTTTGTAAAGGCATTTATTTGTGACTATTTTAGTAATTTGTATTTTTATTTTGAGAACAGGTTCCATTTGTGATTTCCAAAATGGCAGAAAGCAGTATTTACATTTGCTGCCTGCTGAACTTTTGTTTTTGGCTTTTTGAGACAGGATTTTGCTGTATAGTTCAAGCTGACCTCGAACTCATGATAATCCTCCCACTCAGCCTCCCAAATGCTGAGACTACAGGTGTGCGCCACCACGCACAGCTCTGACTAAACTACTGGGGGATTCTCTATGAAACAATTTCAGGAGCAAACTTTTGGCGCCTAAAAATTCTGAAGAAAACTTTCTGTTGCTCTTCATAACAGTTGTCTTCCTCTTTGTTCTGTCCCAAGATAAAGCCACCAATCCTTCCAATCGCCAGGAAGACTGGGAATACATAATTGGCTTTTGTGATCAGATCAACAAAGAGCTTGAAGGGTAAGTCTCAACACTGTTAGAAGCAGGAGAAAGCTGACTGGAAAAGCCAAAAATTGGCCAGGGAACACTGGCCAGATGGCCCGACTTGGTGTGCTGACTGGTTTCCTATTCCCCAGGCCCCAGATTGCTGTCCGACTGCTGGCACACAAGATCCAGTCTCCACAGGAATGGGAGGCGGTGCAGGCCCTGACGGTAGGGCTTTACCCTCAGACGAAACAGTGGCTAAGCCACCTGCCTGGGGTGCTCCTCACACCCATCAGGTCTTGGTGGCTCTCAGCACATGCACCCAAAGACTAGCAAAAGGTCCTGGATATCCTGTGTGTTAAATCAGGCAGGCCCGGGGGGCATAGGCAGCACAGAATACATAAACCTCAGAGGAAGTTTAAACTGGAGATAGCAGGTGTTTTGTTTTTGTTTTGTCTTTTTGAGACAGGGTCTTGCTATGTAGTTCAGACTGGTCTTGATCTCACTTTGTAGCCAAGGCTGGTCTCAAACTTGTTACGATCCTCCTGCCTCAGCGTCCTGAGTGCTGGGATTGCAGGCGTGCACCACTACACCTGGCAAGAGATAGCAGAATTTAAAGATTATCACCCAGCATCCCGCTCCCAAATATTGGTCAGCCTGTGGAAAGGACTTTGGACCCTGAGTTAGAGAAACTTTACGTCCCCAGTCCTTAGTACTCCACATCCGTAAAATACAAGGATAGTAACTTTAAGGAAGGCACCTTCCAGGCCTTGGTGTCTGGGTCTCAGCATAGCGTCCTCAGCAGAGCTGTTCCATTTGCTGTGTGGATGGTGAGTGACCCTGTAACTTAGCTGTGTGTTCATGGGGCACAGCACCCCACTTCTCACGTCAGATTCTTTCACCTGCAAGTATTTCTGAGTTCTTGCTGGTGCCAGTCTCACACTGAGCACTTCTCCGTGTGGCTGCAGGTCCTGGAGGCAGGCATGAAGAACTGTGGGAGGAGATTTCATAACGAAGTGGGGAAGTTCCGGTTTCTGAATGAGTTAATCAAAGTCGTCTCTCCAAAGGTCAGTCAGTGTCAGTTTCCCCCCTTCCAGGGACTTTTCTTGTGTTGCATTTTATTGACTTTCTGTGCTCACCCAGCATTTCCACAGGGCTGACCCTCATGTCCTGGAGAGCTGGCCCCTGGAGGTAGTTGGATGACTGAGCAGGTCCTGGGGCTGCCTAGAGGGGGCCGGCGGTACAGTGGTAGCAGCCGTGTGTGCACCCAGGGAGGGGCCTGGGCAGCGAGGATTCCAGGCTCCTAGCGCACAGCAGCTGTGGGTGTTTGGGTCCGTCTTCCATGGGTCTCAGGAGCTGGCGGCCCTCACTGCTTGGTCACTCTGCTGGTCAGGCTCTGTCGCTTATCTCTGGGCACACAAAGCAGAGGGAACAATTTCCCTCACCCACGGCATTCTCATGGAGTCCTTCAGGATGAACTGCAGTTAGTTTCAAGGAGCTTGTGTGTGGAAGTGTGGGCATGAGCTTTTGGGCCCTTTCTAACCACTCACTGTGTCCACGTGGACATGGCTGTGCCATCGGGAAGTGCCTCCCCTCCCCTGACCTCACTGCCCTCACACCTGTGTTAACCTCTACCAGGTTTGAGTAGGTTTAGACAGTAATAAGCAACCCTGTCATCGCTCTAAACTGCAGTTCCTAGGTTTACCCATTTCCTTTTGCCTCCTAGTACCTGGGGGACAGGGTATCTGAGAAAGTGAAGACCAAGGTCATTGAGCTACTTTATAGTTGGACAGTGGCCCTGCCAGAAGAAGCAAAGATCAAAGATGCCTACCACATGTTGAAGAGACAGGGTAAGTATCTGCCTTATGCAGGCTCAGGGGAGCCCTTGAAGGGTTCTGGCTGCCATGGCCGGCAGGAAAGGGGTGGTTTGGGGGATCCCCAGACTTCCTCCCTTCTTCTTCCTGAAGCTGGTGTTTGTTGCCAAGGGAGGGCTCAGCTGGAGTTTTGGTGGGATAAGGTGTGAGCAGCCTGCCATCTCCTGCTCCCCCATCAGGTCTTGATGGCAGTGGTGTGGCCCTTGGTGTAAGCAGGGGGGACAAGGTGACCGCAGCCTGAGCACACGCTCTGCCGCTTGTGTCCCTTTTCAGGCATAGTGCAGTCTGACCCACCAGTCCCTGTGGACAGGACACTGATCCCCTCTCCACCTGCTCGTCCCAAAAACCCTGTTTTTGATGATGAGGAAAAATCCAAGGTAAAGTAGGGGCAACAGGAGGAAATGGTTTTTTGACACTGCTGTTTCAAAGCCAAATTTCTTCGTGGCTTCCACGTTGGGTGGGGTAGTGCTGTCCTTTTCTTCCTCTTTTTTTTTCCTTTCTGAGACAAAGTCTCACTTTGCAGTTCAGGCTGGCCTTGAGCTCACTTTGTAGCCCAGGCTGGTCTTGAACTTGCAACAATCCTCCTGCCTCAGCCTCCTGAGTGCTGGGATTACAGGCATACACCGCCACACCCTGCTGCTTCTCTTGCTCTTTAGCATTTTTGTCTTCCAGCTTTTAGCCAAACTGCTGAAGAGCAAAAACCCAGATGACCTGCAAGAGGCCAACAAGCTCATCAAGTCTATGGTGAAGGAAGTGAGTGGACCCCAGTCCTTTGGGCAGGGGGCAGAGGAGTTTGCAGCCACAGAGCAGAAGTCTCTCCCCCGGGGTGTTGGCCTGCCTTGTTCCTCGGCCACAGCCTCTCCCGGAGTGAACGGAAGAGGAATGGGGAAGGAAAAAAGAGAGGGAGAGTGAGGGGTGTCACTGTTAAAAAAAAACTGTGGGTTGGGTCTAAGGCCTGTGGTCCCAGGAAGTGTGCACTGAGCAGAGTTCTGGCTTCACCTCTGCTCTTGCTCTGGGCAAGTGGCCTCCCCCGCATCCTCCACTGGTGTGGGAACTGACTAGGTGAGCTCACCCTTGGACCCTCTTGGCTGAGACAGGATGAAGCACGCATCCAGAAGGTGACCAAGCGCGTGCACACCCTGGAGGAGGTCAACAATAATGTGAAGCTGCTCCATGAGATGCTGCTTCACTACAGCCAAGAACACTCATCGGAGGCAGACAAAGAGCTCATGAAGGTAGGTGCCACCAGCTGAGAGCTGCCCACAGCGCTGCCTGTTGCGACAGAACACCTGCCCATCCGCTCACTTGCTCTTCGTGAGCTTGTTCATCTGTGCAGCAGCAGGGAATTGAAAGGTAGCACCCCGCTGCTACAGAGTCGGCTAACATGGCCCAGGGAACCCTTGTCCGTGTCTCTAGACATTGCCCTCGGTGCTCACCCCAGCTCTCCGCCTTGGGGACAACTGGACAGAGGCTTCCCCTGGCGGCCCAGGCTGTGACTGGGTGGCTGTCTTCAGTTCTGAGGCACATGTCTGTCTAGGAGGCAAGAAGGGGCTTGCTTTCTCTCTGTCATCTGAGCACAGTGACTCACTGTCAACAGCTTGGTGCTGAGGTTTGGTGGAAGCGAGCAGAAGGCTGTGTTCTCTAGTCCCGATTCTGCCAGTAACTGTCCATGGTACCTAGCAGAGCCCTGCCACTTTCCGAGCATGACTGCTGAGTCACGATTGCAGGGCCACTTGTGATTTTCATGTTCTGGGTCTCTCTCAGGAACTGTTTGATCGGTGTGAGAACAAGAGACGGACATTATTTAAACTAGCCAGCGAGACAGAGGACAATGACAATAGTTTGGGTGAGTGAAAGAGTGATTGGTGTGGATGAATCAGGAGTTTGATACTGTGTTGTCACAGCTAGGAATGAGGGATCTCTCTCTCTCTTGCTGTAGGGGACATCCTGCAGGCCAGTGACAACCTCTCCCGGGTCATCAACTCTTATAAAACAATTATTGAAGGGCAGGTCATCAATGGTGAGGAGACCACCTCAGCCCTGCCTGACTCTGAAGGTAACGTGTTCTGGGACCCTCCAGGCCACCGCCAGTTGCAGGCTGACCACATGACAGCCCACAGGGCCTAGGGGACTCTTAAGCCACGCCTAGGGCCCCTCCAGCTTCCTCAGGTGGGGATATACTGGTTTCCCTGCCTGCTTTTCAGTGTCCTCTAGAAGAAAAGCCACTTAATGGAGTTAGAGGCTAGAGCCCTGGCGGCTGTGCCCCGGGTCCTGTCTCCTGCTGCAGCCACCAGAATGACCTCTGATTATTGTTCCTCTTCTGTGACCCACCCAGGAAACAGCTACTCCAGTAATCAAGGCACTCTCATCGACCTTGCTGAGTTGGACACGCCTAACAGTTCACCCCCAGTGTCGGCCCCAGTGCCCACCCCACCCTCCTCAGGCATCCCTATCCTCCCTCCACCTCCCCATACCTTGGGACCTCCACGCAGCCGCTCGTCCAGCCAGGCCGAGGCTCCCCCTGCGCCCAGCAGCACAAGCAACACCCTCTGTCTGCTGGACGAGGAGCTGCTCTGCTTAGGTACATCCTGCAGGGCAGCCGTGGGGCCTTCCTCTGGGGTGGCCTGAGGGGAAGACTGAAGTCAGGAAGTCTGAGGGGTCTCTAGCATGCTTATCAGTCAAGTTTTTGTCCCTGGGGACCGCCAGAGCCATCTCCCTGTGGACAGCCTGTGGCTCTTGCTCTGCTTCTCACGTTCCCTGGGAAACTCCTCTGCCTTACTGCTAAGATTGGAAGGGGGATCGCTTCACTGTCTAGCAGCTGCTAGGAAAACACCTTCTCCCCACCTCCTGTACAGTCTCGTCCCTTTTCCCTTCCCTGGCGAGCCGGGGCTGAGCCTCTTCTCACCGAGTTTTCTTCTGTATTCTCAGGACTCTCAGACCCAGCCCCCACCGCCCTTCCCAAAGAGTCAGCTGGAAATAGCCAGTGGCACCTGCTGCAGGTATGGACACAGTCTGGTGTGGAGCAAAGGTGAAGTGCTGGCCCAGAACCTTCACTCGCCAGCATCTTCTCTTTCCTGATCGGTGCTTGACTGTGCTTAGCCCGAGCCCAGGCTGTTCTTACCCTCCAGAGCACTGTCCAGTGCAGCATGCTCCCAAGGGCTTTTCTCTGGCCCTGTCCTTGGAGGCAGCTACTCCCCAGGTTGTGACAGGCCCCCTCCAGACACCTAGGGAAAGACAGATGCAGCGGGTGGTGGGCCATTGCCAGCAGCCCTCTGCTTACCACTCCTTTCACTGTGCAGAGTGAACAACCCAGCGTGGACTTCTTCAGCCCCAGGATGGGGCCTGCTGCCTGCTCCTCAGAGGGGCCCTTGCTCCCGCCTTCCACTCTCCCATCAAGCAAGTCCCAAGCTCCACCGCCGTCTTGCTTCCCAGCCCCTGTGGTCCCAGCCAGCACACCTGGCCCCAGCGCGGTCTCCTTCATGTTCGCCTCCGGACTTGCCCCAGCTTTGGCCCCAAAGGCTGAGCATGCAGCCCCTGAGTTCCACAACTCAGCACTGGGTGACAGCACCCTGAACCACCTGGATGCCCTTGATCAGCTTCTAGAAGAGGCCAAAGTGTAATGAGTGGGGGAAGGGGGTGGGTTGTAGCCTCGGGACTGGGAAAATTTTTGGTTCCATCAGTCAGTCAGGGCTGGAAGCTGGGGCTGGGGGGTGGCTAAGTGCCATCTCTGGCCTGGGCACCTGGGTGGGGTTGGCCCAGCAGCTGTGGCCTATGCTGACTTTCCCTCTGTCCTTCCTGCCTCCCAGGACCTCGGGCTTAGTGAAACCTGTCTCCTCTTGCTTCTCCCCTGGGGCCACGACCTCCCCACTGCTCCCTACCCCCGTTCCTGCCAGGCCTTTCCTGCCCTTCTCCACTGGACCCAGCAGCCCTCTCTTCCAGTCATCGGCCTTCCAGTCCCAGGGCAGCCCCATGAAGGGGCCTGAGCTCTCCCTGGCCAGTGTCCACGTGCCCCTGGAATCCATCAAGCCTAGTAGGTGTTGGAGGTGGGAAGGGAAGCGGGGCCCGCAGCCATGCATTATAGGTCATGTGGTGGGTGGGTATGGGTGCTTTGTGCAGAGGTCCCTAGGGTGTCCAGTTCCCTGCTGTCTCAGGCTGTGCTTGTTGCGTATGAGTGTGGCCTTCAGGCGCCCATCAGAGGGCCTTTCCCTGGCTCCATTAAGACAGCACAGTAATTATGGCCACACGGTCTCCTTTCTCTTCCCTACTTAGCTACAGTGTGTACTGCCAGGGCTCTAGGGTGTCTGACCCTTTTCTCTTACCACACTCATGCCCCTTCTTGCAGGTAGTGCCCTTCCTGTGACAGCCTATGATAAAAATGGCTTCCGTATCCTCTTCCACTTTGCCAAGGAGTGTCCACCAGGACGGCCCGATGTGCTGGTAGTGGTGGTATCCATGCTGAACACAGCTCCTTTGCCAGTCAAGAGCATTGTGCTACAGGCTGCAGTGCCCAAGGTACTGCCAGCTTCCTGGGCCCCCAGAGGCCAAAATTGCCTTTATGTTGATCCCACTGCTTGGAGGTCCTTTCAGTGGCCAGCAGATGGCAGTGTGTGTACACATGTGCATCCACTATGATCAGACCCATTTCCTGTCCAGGGCATGGGCCAGCTCTCTTTAAAGGTACTTTTCTTGTCTTTCTCCATAGTCAATGAAAGTGAAGCTGCAGCCACCCTCTGGGACAGAACTCTCTCCATTCAGTCCCATCCAGCCACCTGCAGCCATCACCCAGGTCATGCTGCTGGCCAACCCAATGAAGGTAAGCAGTGGAAGAGCCCAGGTCCCAGCTACCCCAGGTTAGGACTTCTTCCCTAAACTTTGAGGTGACCTCTCCAGCCTGCAGCATTACCTCTCCTTTGCTGCCCTAAGTTAGGTGCCCAAGTGTGGGTGGACACAGTGGGAACAGGGATGCACAGGGCCATGAGGACAGTGGGGAAGAGACCACATGGACTGGATCTTGCTCACCTGCTGCCTTCTGTCACAGGAGAAGGTGCGACTCCGGTATAAGCTGACCTTTGTTCTTGGGGAGCAGCTGAGCACAGAGGTGGGCGAGGTGGACCAGTTCCCTCCTGTGGAGCAGTGGGGGAACCTATGACCCCAAAAGATGCGGTGATCTCCACTTTTAAGCCAAGCAGGCTGCCCCAAAATGGACAGGGCTCCAGTCTAATCACTCAGCATCCTGACAGCAGCACTTGTAGCTTTGACATGGACTGGGGGCCCTGGGCACTTATGCTGGGAGCCATCCTGCTGCTGTGATAATCTCTCCTGTGGGCCCCTAAAAGGACCTTTTTTTTTTTATCTACCTGTGTGACTTGAAGTGGCCATATACTGTCAGGGGTGGGAAACAGCTCCTGTTGATTCTGCTGTTCTGGGACAGTAGACCCTAGCCCTGGAATAGGTTTCTCCCTGTACTGGTATCCCTGGTGCCTGGGGGAGGATTCTAAAGAGAGGGAGGTCTTGGATCCCTGTAAGAACAGAGGTTTGAGGCTGCAGCCCCTGTTGCCAGCCTGTGCTTCCCCTACTGGCAGGCTCTAGTGCCACCTCCACTGAGGTGGGCAAAGCCAGGGGCCCAAAGTGAGGGGTTGGAGTCCCCTGGAATCCACCTGCCTTCTGTGGGCAGCAGCACCCCGGAATGGCCACCGGATGAGTTCTGCACTTGTCCGTCAGCGGTGATAGGCTGCCTTGTGAACATCTCAGCAGGATGTGGAACTCAGCCTATCAGGAACAACCTGGCTTCATGACAGCAACAAGTAGGGACAGGAAAGGAAAATGAAGAGAACCAGTTTTTGCCCTTCAGAAGCAAGCGCTGGGAGCTATTTGGGGAAAGTACGCCTCCTGTGTGACAGGCCATCCTACTCACTACCTCCTGCTTGGCATGAAATCCACGGTTCTCCTTCCCCTAGCATCTCCGAGAGGAAGGACAACTCCCATCACCCTGTGTCCTCCTGCTTTGGCCTCCTTCCTGCCAGATGTGTGATATGGCACTTCTGGTTGGGCCTGGGAGGCCTCAGGGTCAAGCACATTGCACTGGAATTATGTCCTTTCGTGCTGCATGGAAATCCCCACCGTCCCCCAGCTACACAGGGGCACTGCCAGCACGGAGTTGGCTGGGAGGTGATAAGGTGAGGGAGAGGCCACACTTGAACCAAGCTTCCAGAGCCTGTTGCTCCAGTAGTCTCATCCCAGCTGCCCCTGGGCAAGGCACACTGAGAGCCACAAGGCACCAGGACCAGCAGCTGCCACAGAAGCTGGGGATGGGCAGACAGCTCAGGTGGACAGGCTCAGTTAGCCAGCACCTTGGGAAAAGGTGACACAAGCCACAGCCCCTGGCCCCCCTGGCCCTCCTGCCCCTTGCCAGGTTTCCTTGCTCTGTATCCAGAGGTCATCTCACCCTCCTCTCCCCTTACTGCCTTTAGTGAGCAGGTTTCACTGCTTCATCAAGACAGGTCAAAAGTGAATAGTTTTCACTACTTAAGGAATAAATCCAAGAGCTTTCCAGAGACTAGCTGCTGCAGCCCTGGGAATGTCTATGGGATTACTGTGTGGAAAAGTACCCTAATAAGAAGCTTTAGACATTAAAATTAGTTATCAGTGTTACTCCTACAATTGAGGTCACTGCTTTGTGGCAAACAGCTGTACTGGATGTACCAACTCTGCTGCCCTTGTTTTGCTGCATGTTAAATAAAACTATTTTTACCCTAGTTGAAATCCTTATAATAGATACCATTTGCCCCAAGGGGAAGGTGCCACCTGTGAGTTCCAGGTGGGGGGAGAGGGCGCTAAAAAGTATGGATTGCTGAAACCTTTTAGGATAATCAAAAAGATAGTGCTGCAGATGATTTGGGGTTAAAACAAGATTTCAAGCCTAAGTTAACTACAAGGACTCACTCTTGTTCAAGTTTCCAGTTACAAGCAGGATTCTATGTTGACCATTCCTACCTTGGGGTAGGCTCTCTTATGAGACCAGGGAAGACACTTGCTTATTAAAGAACAAGTCAGGCACACTGTTCCAAGCTAGTAGCCCTAACTACTCAGGAAGCTGAGACAGGAGGATCCTCTGAACCCAACAGAGTTGAGGCCAGCTTGGCAATATAGCAGGACCCATCTCACTAAAACATAAAACATTCTCTTCATTTTGCTATCTTAGGTTCAGAGTAGACATGGATAAAAACTCCTTGGTTGGACTTTATTTGCCAAAGAGAACATTTATTTTAAAAAGCTATTTTACATTGCCATACAAAGTTACCACACGGCGGGAGCTCTTAGCTGACCTCAGGAACCTTCCAGTGAGCCTTCTTTTATAATTGCCCGTGCAAGATTCCTGGCCAGAGCAAGTCTCAGCATCTCCACCTTGGTGGTCTCTATATCATCATCCTAAAAAGCAGAGAGCTGGTGTGAGGAACAGCAGGCAGTGGCTCCCACAAAATAGAAGGCATTTAACACTTCCATTTTCAATGTAAGCGTATGGGCCACTGCAACCAATCAACAGAAAAAGTATGGAGACCAGAAGACTAGAACCATCCACTTTTAACAAGTTGGTGTGGGGGCTGGGGATTTAGCTCAGTGGCATAGCACCTGTCTGGCAAGTGCAAGGTTGTGAGTTTGATTCCTGGTATCGGAAAAAAAACAAAAAAAAAAAAAGTTGGTGTGGCACCGGGCACGGTGGTACATGCCCGTAATCCCAGAACTTGGGAGGCTGAGGCAGGAGAATCTTTGCAAGTTCAAGACCAACCTGGGCTACAAAGTGGCTCAAGGCCAGCCTGAACTGCATAGAGACCCTGTCTCAAAAAGACGACAAAAAAAAAAAAAAAAAGTTGGCCTGGCACAATTACAGGGAAGCAGTAACTAAGAGGCGTGAGAGTTCCTACGGGGTCAGGAACTGACCTGTGTTTCAGGAACACAGGTAGAGGAGACAAAGCTCAAGACGGGGAGCCTTTTCCCTCACCAGGGAACCATCCATCAGGAAGCTAAAATGACCTGGGGTTTCTGGGCATCGGGCTCTCCACACTCCAGCCTCCTTGAGGTCAGGTCCTCCAAGCATCGCATCAGCTCATACGTCTGTTCTGCTGAGAAGATCACCTAGGAGAGATGGGCTTCTTTACTAAGCTGCTCCCCAGCCCAGGCCCGTGCTGGTACCGGCCTGGGCCTAAGTTCAGAAGAGGTCTTCATCCCGTGTGCACGGAGGAGCCCTGATGCAGGGAGCAGCTTCCTACTCTCACATCCGGCCCTCAAGTCAGGCCCTAGGCACAGTACTGGCGCTGGACAGCTGTGGTATTTCAGTGTAAAACTGGACTCAGAGCACAGGTACATAGTGGAAGATGATGAGTGCTCACACAAAGCTACTTGAAAATAGTATGTATGTCCGCAATAGATACACACCAAGCTCTGGAGAGCTACAAAAGGTGGACAAGAAAATCCCCAAGGACTCAAGCCTTAACCTGTTTCTGTTCCAAAAGAGGGAGGGCATCTGTGAGCAGAGTCATCCAGAAAGAGCGGGGTGCAATCTGAGAGGTCATCAGGGACAGCAGAAGAGATGAGGCGTCGCTGAAACGCTTCTCCCCGTACAGTCGGTGGAACTCCCGGTACTTTCCTGTTGGCAGAAGGAGCAGTACATCACCCTGCATCCCCTAAATGGCTCCCTGATGACACCTACAAAGGTTACCCCAGCCCTAAAAAAGAGGAGAGGGTACAGGCATGTGGCACATGTCTCTAAGATAAGGCAAGAGGAACGTCAGTTCGAGTTCAGCCTAGGCAATTTAGTAAGACCTTGTCTCAAAAAATACAAGAGCTGGAAATCAGAGATGGTGCACACAGCAGTAATGGAAAGTTTAAGCCCTACCTGGGCCTAGTTAAGAGACTTAACAAGACGCTGCCTCAAAAAAATAAGAGGGATAGGGGCTGGGGATTTAGCTTAGCGGCATAGGGCCTGCCTGGCAAGCACAAGGTCATGAGTTCGATTCCAAGTACCAGAGGGAAAAAAAAAAAAAAGGCTGAGGATGTAGCTCAGGCCTCAGTTCAACATCCAGGACATACAAAGAAATGGGGGTATAGCTCAGTGGTAAGGAAGTGTTTCACGTATGCGACACCTTAGGTTCAATCCTAGCACCAAAAGGAAAAAAAACCCAACACAACAGAAACACTAAAGAGATGGCAGCTAAATTTGTTATCCTGGACATAGTTAAGTACATTATTACCAAGACAACCAATACTGTGGATGAGAGTTTTGTATCAATGACTTTTGTTTTGAGACAGGGTCTTGCTCTGTAGTTCAAGCTGGCCTTGAACTCACTATGTAGCCCAGGCTGGCCTTGAACTCACATCAGTCCTCTTGCCTCAGCCTCTGGAGTGCTGGGATTACAGCCGTGCACCTGCACCACCACTCCTAGCAAGTGACTGATTGCTTGTTTTTGGTAACTATTGTTATAGAGTGAAATACAAACTGAAGCCTTTATAAAGAGAAAGGGGCAAAGTATTTCCAACTTATGCTTAAATTGTTCCCAAAACCTGGTGGATCACCAGAGAAGATAAACGAGAAAAAAGACAAGTTACTGGTGAATCTATGAAAAGTGTATATAGGAGATCCTTATACCTTATGTGACTTTTGTAAGTTTTCTCCAAGCTTGAAATTACTGGAAAATAAAATGTTACCAAATCCCACCACTCAGGAGCCTAAGGCATGAGAGTTGCTGTGAGTTCGAGGCCAGCCTGATTACAGACCAAGACCCTGTATCAAAAAACAACAAGCAAAAAGCTGCAGTCACACACAGGATCCCTATGTGGTTTGGAGTGTGGGCTAACCAAGAAGGAAGTGCACCAATCTAGAATAAGTTCCAGTCTCTACAGTGGTCCACAGTTCCCCAAGGGACAGAGATGAGAGACTCACCCAGGAATGTCAACCGATCACTCAGCATCATGGCTGGCCCCAGATTGTCAATGAGATCCAAGTCAGAAAAGCAGCCTCGCTCACAGTAATCCCTGAGGAACCTGCAGGGCCCGGACCGGAGGAGATCAGAAAGCAGCTCCAGCCCCACTCCTCGACCTCCAACCTCCCACATGACCCCCACACGACTCCCAGAGCTATCACCAGCTGCACTCACCTGTCTGAAACCAGTGTGGCAAAGGCAGCATCTTTGGCACGAATGCTCCAAGAGAGGGCAGAGCCCAGGCGATTGTTACGGACAGACTTCATGGCCAAGATCTTACAGATGCTGCGGACTTCCCAGGAGAGAGACAGAAGGCAAAGCCTCTCAGCCATTACCACTCCCTTCAGGAGCACTGTGGTGACAGGCATGGCTTTCCCACAGCCTCACTGCATCCCAAAGTTGCTCCTGGCCCCAAGCACAGGCAGGCCAACAGCACTGGAAACTTCTGAGTTTGCTAACAGTGTCACCTCTCTGCTAATGGTACAGTGAACCACTACTCCACACAGTTAGCTTTATGGGGGGATGTGCTTTCTTCCCACATACCAGCCTCTCCATCATCCTCAAAGCCTATCTTCCTTCGCCTCTCAGACAGTTTTGTTTTGTTTTGTTTGAGACAGGGTCTCACTCTGTAGTTCAGGCTGGCCTTGAACTCACTGTGTAGTCCACGCTGGCCTCAAACTCTTGGAAGTCCTCCTGCCTCAGCCTCCCGAGTGCTGGGATTACACGCGTATGCCACTCCAGATCAGAAAACCATGTTTTCTGATATGGCCAAATGTGTATGTGTCACAGTGCTAGGAGCAGTGACACGGGTTGTCATCGTGGGGGCAGAGTTGTGTACACTCATCTCCCTGTGCTCCTGCTCAGCCATAAGCCACCACACCTGCACCCCTTCCCGACCTGCTCAGACTTTGCTAGCAGCAGTAGCCCACCTGGATAGAAACCCCAGTACCAACTCCAGCCTGGGCTTATAAAGCAAATGTGACAAGTGGGTCAGGGTCTTCTCTAAAAAAAAAGAAGGACCCTCTACTTTGTTCCTCTCTAGTAAGTCTTGTGTCCTAGCTCTTCTTCACTGTGGTGGAGTGCAGCTTCAGTGCCCCGATGTGTGCCCCCCAGTGGTAGCGAGGACAGCCAACTCACCTTGTTCGGTCATCTGCCGCTGCTCACAAATCCGCAGCACCTTGAGGGCTTTCTGCTCAGTGTTGAGAGGGATCCGCTCAATATGCAGCTCCAAGGAAACGCGGCCCAGCTCAGGGCAGTGGTCAAAATAATCTACCCCCAGTTGCCAGAGACTGCAAAGGTCCCAGGAGGACAGATATGAGAGCCAGGTGAGCCTGGAGCTTGGTACCTAAGCCTTCTCTTCTCTGACACCCTCTGTAGTCCTCGGGGAACCAGAGAGGAGAGCACAGTCCCAGGCCCCCTGGATGAAGAGCACCCCAGCGTACCCTAGGCCCCTGGGCCTTCCTACCTGTGATGAGAAAACAGCCCTGAGGCATATTCCAGCAGGAGGAACTCTCTCATGTTGGAACCAAAACTGGAATAAAACGTAACAGTAGATCAAGAACCCAGGCCTGCTCTATTCAGGGCCCCTTCCCCCAGCCCAACCACCCTTCCATTCAGCATAGCCGACCCCAGAAAAGTCAGTGTGTCTGGCTGACTTACTAAAGGTTGTGAGACTGGAGGAGCCTGCAGTGATCTAGCAGATCTGTCAGATGAGCCACAAACCACCAGTTGCTCAAGGCGATGCTGTGGATTCAGACACCAAGGTAAGAAGGAAATAAGGGCACAGACCGCCTCACAGGTAGGCAGGACACCCCCACATCTTACATTTCAGAGGGAAGGACGAGATTTCACCTCCCACCTGTTAGAATCTGTGTGGTAGGAAAGTCAAAGGACAGAAACAGCAGCTGACAAAGTTGCGGAGAAAAGGGAACCCTCACATACTCTTGTGTTCATGTAAATTGGTGTAGCCTGTATGGAAGACACGGAGGTAACTCAAAAACTTAATGGCTGGGTATGGTGGTGCACACCTATAATCCCAGCATTCGGCAGGCTGAGGCAAGAGGATTGTTGCTGAGTTTGAGACCAGCCTGGGCTACAAAGTGAGCTCAACTGCAGCCTGAACTGCATAGCGAGACCCTGTCTCAAAAGGACCAAAAAAACAAACAAAAATGACCACCTTTATGACTTACAGCTGGACCTGTCAGCATACACCTATAATCCCAATTACCCAGGAGGCAAAGGCCGGAGGATCTTCAAGTTAAAAGCCAGCCTCAGCCTGGGCACTTTAGCTGGGCCCTGACTCAAACTAAAACTGGGTACACTGGCACACAGGAAGGTCACAAGGTCAAGCCTAGCCTGGCCAATTTAAGGAACAGCAAGACCCTATCTCAAAAAGTAAAGATCCTCAGCACTTGGGAGGCTGAGGCTGGAGGATTGCTGCAAGTTCAAGGGCAGCACAGTGAAACCCTGTCTCAAAAAGACAAAAAAAAAGCCGGGTGTGGTGGCACACGCCTGTAATCCCAGCACTCAGGAGGCTGAGGCAGGAGGATCATTGCGAGTTCGAGACCAGCCTGGGCTACAAAGTGAGCTCAAGGCCAGCCTGAACT